GATGTGACGGTTATGGTCACGAGGGCTGGATGTCACATGCTCGCTTAGCGAGGCGCTAGCGCGCACGACCTGTATTTAGTTCCCAGCTCTCTCGAGCTCTCCTTCTTTCCTCGTCTTTTGTCCTAAGAATAGAGTGTTAATTGTTCTGAGTTCTACCTGAAGCACGTCTGTCACACGTGCGTGCCGCTGGCATCCTGTATTTAAGCTTCCGTTCCTCTGGAACTCTCTTCTCTCCTCACTTAGTTGTTCGCTCAATACAGCAGTTTCCGTTTGACTCCGTATTCATCACAGCAAGCAGTGGTTCACTCCACACGGTTACAATATTTAGTAAAAGGAAAGTAATTAGTATAGTATTTTCTAGTCAAGTAATAATATTAAAAAAGAGGTTATTTTTAATAACAAAATTAAGAAGTAAGATATAAAAACGTTTATTATAGTTGTATAAAATAGTTAGTTTTTTAAAAATACTTCTTAGCTTTTCTTTTAATTCTAGGAATAACTTATAAGCTTACTTAAATAAGAGAGTTATTAAATAGTAGTTTTAATAATAAGCTTTATAATTTCTTATAAAAGTAACTATATAAGAGATTTAGAATAGGAATACTTAGACTAAGACGAACAATATAAATTAAATGCCTGAGTCAAGGTCGCAAAAAGGCAGCGGCTTACTTGTAGCACTCTGACAACATTCTCCACTTGGTGCTAGCATCACGAACTCCTTAAGTTGAACGAGAATACTATGAGACCCAATCTTCCAATCATTCCAATCCAGGCCAAGCCACAAAAGATCCTTGGCGTGCTTCTCGCTTACACAACAAAGCAAATCATCACCACTCCCTTCACTTCCCACCCAAACAAAGAATAAACCCACGTTTCCACAAAGCTTACAGTGATCTACTGAGGGTATTTGCTGCAAATGTTTCACAAATTGCGGTGTGCAACAAACTGTAAAATATCCTATTTTGACAAGCGGCTACTGCCAAAGAAAGGCTCAAACATCGTGGCCTGCCTCCAGAGTTGTAGGAACTCTGTGGCAGCCACGAAGGGATGATGAAGGCAAGACACCTCTCAGATTTAATGAATGAAATATATCCTAGTATGTGCTTCGCTCGAATCTGGCGGTGAAAAAATTCGTAGCGACAGTAAGAAGGATAAGGCAGAGGAAAAACTCACTCAAAACATGTCCAAACCCTCCCTCAACGCTGAAACAAAACATTGACCACCTTATTGAAAAGAAGACTGAATTGCATTGACTTTCTCGCTTTAAGTCAACAAAGCGTATCTGAAATCTCGACGTTTCCATCCAAAACCCCCCTTTATCCACTTGTCCCAGATGCGGGTACCCCTCGAAACGAACAAAGAAATTCCGGTCCAACATCCACGAAAAAAGGTCTCGAGCTCGAAAAAACAAGTATCGCATACTCGTTTTCGAAGATTGGGAAAGAGTATATACTGGCGCTGATTCTGGGTCGTTCTTTTCTCATTTTCATCAACCCACGACTCGACTTAACCGAAGCAAGCCAAGCCTAGCCCCTGATTAGACGAGCAGGCCGAGTAAATACGATTCTCAACAACCTGCGACTCTGCAATTTTCGCTCACATTCGTATTCGAGAAGATATCAGAAGTGAACAATTGGAAAACATCGAAGATCAAAATGCCAAAAAATAAGGGAAGACGCGGCCAGGGAGGCAAGAAGCTCAACCCCAACTCCAACAATCCCTCTCCCGCGCCCTCAAACCCGGGATCCGACACCGAAACCGGGCGATCAAGTACACCAAAAAACACCCCGATACCTAAAACCACAAAGAAAGTAGTTTTCAGCTCAGCGGACGACATTAGTGGAGGCGGCGGAGATGAAGAAGGATCCAATGCCTCGGTGACCTCCTCAGAGTTGCGAGAAATTCGGGATTTGGTTGCGACGGAAGGACTTGAGAATGTGGAGGGAGAAAGGTTGCCGGGAAACTTTAGTGACCTGGATGATAAGGATGACGAGGATAGCATTGAGAGCAAATCGTCGAAGAGTAAATTGCCTGAGGATCCAGAGAAGACGAGTCCAGCGGCTGGTCCTTCAACTCGCAAGCCTGTTGCTGGCCACACAGAGTCCCCTAAATCCCCTGATACGTCGGGTGGGGATTTCAGAAAGTGGCCTCCAGAGCTACCACCAGGACAGACATTGAGCGAAGAGGAGGCCAAAAGGATGGTGCTAGATACGTCCATGTTCGCGCCCCCATCGAGTACAAAAGGTCCGTACGCCTCCGACAGTGTTGCTGACATCTGGGAACCAGGAATGGAGAGACCAGATGCTCCAAGCTTCGAGGACAGACTGAAAGCCTTCGCGGCAAAAGTCCGAGCAGAAGAGAAGAAAGCTAAAGCTGACAAGGCCGCAGCATCAACCCCACCTGGGGGAGAATATGTATTTGCGAAGCCAACACCGAACACTCCTAAAGCGGGCCCCTCGGGATCCAAGTCTTCTGGCAAGAAACCTGTGTACGGAGACAACTTCGCTAAACCCACCAGTACCAAGGGTCCATATGGTACAGGAGTTGATATTCCGGTAATGGGAGATGGTAAAGATGTAGCACCTCGAACACCTTTGAGGACGCGCTACAAAGCTTGGGCGGAGGAACCTGACAGTCGGGATAATTCTTCTTCTTCTTCTGATGATGATGATGATGGTTCGCGTGCAGGGAGACCAATAGATCTCAAGCCAAAAGATACGATGGGTGATGATGACCTATCCGACGATCCTGGAAGTAGCCCCTCGCTAGCCAAGTCGTCACCCGAAAAACCCTCAGTAATGCCAGACTTGCCACAACTTACAGCCCAAAACGTAACTCCAAAAAAGCCAATGGAGAGCTCAGATGAACCCTTGTCCTCGAAGAAAGACAAGGGCAAAGGAAAAGAACCAGTCGCTCCTACCCCCAAGAAGCCCATTAAACCAAAATTCAACCCCATCTTCGAAGCCTACCCATACATGCCCGGCACTGATTTAGTAGACGGCAAAATACCACAACACATCCTCGATGCCCCAGTCGTGGGTCGAGACGACGACCGTGATTTCTCCCGGTCCCCTTCACCGGTATTCTTCTTGGGAACACCCGTTCGAACGCCCGTTCAATCGCCCACTCGATCATCAACGGGACCAGCATCACCAAAGAAACTCACACCAATAGCAGAAGAAACGAGTAAAGGGAAAGAAAAAGTTGGTGGTGACGATGGTGGTTTCGCTCCAGCAACCAGTACCAAGGGTCCTTATTCAGGGGGCGTCACGGTCCCAGTCGTGGGAACTCAAGACGATGATACCCGTCCAAGAACACCACCGAAAGAGCGAGAGGCGGCTGCTTTGGCTGGAACTGGTGGAACTGGTGGCAAGAAATCAGACACACCAAAGAGCACTACCCAAACAGGCGGTAAGAAGAAAGGAGATACGTTCGAACCACCGCCCGCGACGGCACCGTCCAAGACGGGCCCCAGAGGTCTAGTGATGGGCCGTGATGATGATATTTTGAGACCAAGGACTCCACCCGAAGTAGGGATGGAGAGAAGGGAAAAGGAACGAACGCAAAAGGAGGGAGCGAGGAAGAAGAGGCCGCAGTCTTTGCTTACAGCTTCTCAGCTTCCTGTAAGTTCATCTCGGCTAATTCTCAACCCCTGAAACTCAAAACAGTACCAAAAGAAGCGCAGAACGAAACTAGAGAAAGCTAACGAGAAATCTCCAGACAACCCCAGAAATGACAGCCTGGCGCGACTTCGCCCGCAAAAACCCCGACAGAGAATGCATAACCCTCGCCAATTCTGCCATGGACTCCCTCTTATCGCACCAAATCGACCTCGTAGCCGAGAACATGGAGCTTGTCGCACTGAACAAGACCTACTCGGAGGAATACGCCAACATCGCAGACATTAACCAAGCGTTGCTCGCCAACGAACAAGGAGTGATCGACCAATATGAAGAGAAAGTCAAGGCGCTTGAAGAAGAACTTGCTGCGTTCAAGGCCCAGGATCCAGAGAAAGACAACATTGAGAAGCTGAAGAAAGACTTGCGAAGGAGTGAGGAAAGAGTTTCTTATTTGTCGGGCAGTCTGAGGACGCTTTCAGGGCAGTTGGAGCCTTTGAAAATGCAAGTCATTCAGCTGGTGACGGAGAGGAATCAACAACGCGATACGATTTTGGAGTTGGAGGAGGATCTGGAAGCTGCGAGGGATGACACAATGCCCGGTAGCGACGCAACGGCCCAGTTGAAAGTCCAGATGAGAAAAGCCGAGTTAAAATGCCAAGATGAAAAGGCTCTCTTGCGAAAAGAAGTAAATGCCCTGGAAGCAGCTCTCAGCGATGCCAGGAAACAACCAAGTGGAGGACAGCCTTCAGGAGGGGATCCTAATGCTCCTCCAGAATACGACTTCGAGCGGCCGGATTACATAGAATTAAACGACCGTAAGAACCCCTTCCCCCTGAAAGAAACCGGTGAGAAAACATACTAATCAAAGCAACACAGAGGACCTGACAGGCGAAGTCGACATCTCAGAATTCGGCCCCGCGACAACACTCAATTTCGAATTCGCCATCATGCGCTGCAAGAGCGGAATCAATAACATACGAGTGTCCCGCGCCCTCCGAGGCTACGCCGCAGGCGACGCACGAGTAGCCATTCGTGCCGCTCGGCAAGCTCTTGAAATAGCCAGAGCGCTTCCCGTACTGGAGCAAAATACCGAAGGGAGAGGCAGAGCCTTCTACTGGTTGGGATATGCGCTTTGGTATGCGTACAAACCTACAGAGGCTCTGGACGCATTCAGCAGCGCAAATTTGTTGTTAGGCAATCTGAGTGTACCGGAAAAACTAAAGAATGATGTCAGCGTTTGGGTTGATGAGTTATACAAGAGAAACAATAAGGGTCCTACTCGGGAGAGACTGCCGTATGCGAAGTTGGTTTTGACGCATTTTTGGCAGGAGATTTCGAGTCCGGAGGGTACACCTGTTCCTATGTGAGATATTAAAAGGTTAGAGAAGGAGATGGGCATGGTTTGGTTCGGTTTCTCTCGTATTTTTGGAAATATAAAATTTTGATTAGAATACTGCTTTTCTACTTAGCAAATAAATTACACTGGTAATATACTACTCATGGGAACCTCCCAAAACCAACTTGCTATCCCCATGGCACCAAGGCTCATTGTCAAGGCCATGAGAAAATTGACTTCATTGTTGTCAAGTATCCCAAAAAGACCACTCTCAACAACCCGACTTGGTTTCTCGTCGCCAAAAGTTGGTTCTCGCCATTTCTTGGAGGCATCATATCGATCCGGGTCTCCCATCTTTTTATCCAGATCTTCTTCAATAGTTTGTGTTGGAACGGAGTTCATCCCCTCTCCGTGAAGAAGAGTTCTCTTCACTTCTGCTCTTTTTTTGTAATGCATGCTGCTCGGACCAGATTTGGAAACCAAGACAGTCTTTCCCCCCTCTCCCTCAACGATACGTCCAGTTCTCGTATCGACCACACTTCTCTGAAACCATCCACCTAGGAAGCTGTCCAGTAAACTTCCCAAAGCCCCCCATATAATCATAGCAAAAGAGAATCTCTGTCTCTTCATCAAATTCCATCCGTACGTAGGCATAGAAGGCGGACAAAAGGGAATGAGCGCAACAGAAGCAGTGACAATAACAAGAGACCCAAGTAGCCCCGCAGCAAGGCCCCCAAGCGTTACGCCCCCATTTGTTCCTGGAGGCACCTGTCGTAGTGTGAGTGATGTAATAAGGCGTGGTTTACTCTTTGAGAGAATCCCCAGTTCGGAACTAAATGTATCCGCAGCTACCGCGACATAATTCGCGATTATTCCCACGACCAAGAGATCCCCTTGCCATGAGTAGCATGCTTCCGTAGGTACGTGGTTTAGTTCGCGTTGACGGAGTTGGTAGGCGTGGAGGAGGGTGAGGACGGATGCGACTCCGGAATTTGCAAGAACTATAGGTAGCAGACACCAAATTAGAAAATGATTCCTAACACAATGCACATATTGCATGCGACAGGATATTTACCTTGAATATGTGTCCTAGCTCCCTCCCCGCCCGCATTCCCAGAGGCCTGCATGGTAAGTTTGGCCTTGATATCATGCTTCACCTGAAAGATATTAGTCCAATCCATGCGCCCAATCCATGCGCCCAATCCATGCGACCCCATACCTTCGTGACTCTTGTGCCAGCAAGAAAAAAGATGATCAGAAGCGCAAATGGCAGATTCCACGGATGCACTGCGTGGGCAACGGCTGCGAAAACTGCTGCGACGATTCCGGCTGGTGTAAGGGATTTATGGGACCATGATCTGTAGACCATGGCCATGGTAATAGGGACGGCTATTACTGCCTTCATTTTGAATGGCGTAGAATTCTGCGATGGGATTCTGTGGTGTTTTTGGGTTGAGAATCAAGATATGCTGGGAGCCTGGTGGAAAGCTTGGGTGACGACATCCCCTTGGCCGAGGACAGGGGTAGCTTCACACAGTACGCGTGTGCGGCGTACGGGGTATATCTTCATTCCTATCAACTTATCTTGGACTTGGTGAACGACAAGGGTATAGGTACTCGATTTGCAGAAACCAATGTACCAACTCGATCTCATTCTGAGGAAAGAGTAGAAACATCAAACATAAAAGCCCTTCATATCCTTAACCCCAACCTCATCACCCCCTCTAACCTCCAACAGCCTCCCCGCACTGATCCTATCAGATTTCGGTACATCAACCTCCTCCTTCCCCAACATCAAGTCTACAGCGCCCTTCGCACTCAGACACGCATTCGGCATCCCATGTCCAGTAAAGCCAGCACATAAAAACAACCCCTCTTCTCCACCCAACTCCTCACTCACTTCTCCAACCCACGGTCTCCCATCACGACTATACCCCATAATCCCACTCCATTCATATGTAGCCTCCAATTCACTTACCTCCGGCCCAGTCTGCAAATCTAGAGCACTGACAAGTTCCCGTCTCAGATAACTCGCAACAGGCTCCGAAATAAAAGAATCGTCTGAGATGCCAATTCCCGCCTGTGCACCTAGTTGACGCCCCCCTCCAAACATCAGTTCACCACCGCTTTCCACATCTGAGGAAGATGAGGAAAAGGGTCGTTGGATAAGGTAATCGGACGTATAGATCATCTTCACATTATCATATCCCATAAAACCATAGCTATGTTGTAGAGGCTTATGCGTGGAGGACTTGGGACTCATGGCGCTTGGTGGGAGGAGGGCACTCATTTCTCCCTGTACTGGGACGATGAGGTCGCTAAACTGGGGGAGGAGACGAGAGGTATATGCATTTGTCGTTAATAGCACCTTTTTCGTTGCGATCATTCCCCGGTCTGTGTGAACCATCCAAGATCCATCTTGAACCTTTTGAAGACGTGTTACTGGTGTTTTAGTTTGCAAATTGAGTTTTGTTTCCGAATTGAAGAGAAGATTCTCCAGCATCCAACAGACGAGTTTATAAGGCCATAACGAAGCAGCGTTTTCCTGGACGAAAGCTCCTACTGCTGTTGAGACACGCAGATCTTCAAGTGACGGATCCGTGGACTCCTTGGTGACAACCGCCACTTGCTTCGCCAGGTCGGGGGCATCTTGTTGCAAAACTTCCAAATGCTTGATGTCCGCTTCAAACATTTTCACATCGGAATATGCATGGCAACCTCTCACAGATCGCCATTCACACTCAATGCCATTTTCCTCTACCATCTTCTTAAGTACCTCATAATTCCGTAATTCAAAAGCCGCAATATCAGGTCGCGAGCCAAAGACCATTGGCTGACAGTGTCCCCCATTCTGTGTTTTGTCAGCCCTCCTCTTCTCGCTCATTTTCATTATATTTGATTGGATGGATGGGATGTAGACTCACACGACCCGTCGCACCCCAGCATGCTTCCCTAGCTTCCAACATAACCACATCAAGATCTTTACCTAAATCATCCTGTGAGAGAAAATGGGCTGCGGATGCACCTGCGATTCCACTTCCTACAATCACGAGATCTGCCTTTGTAGGTAGGGAAGGAGTGGTCCTATGACCAAGGAGTTTCTTGGAGGGAGAGCGGTGCCAGTATGAGGCTGTGGAGTCTGAAGTTGGGAGAGAAGATTGATTATTGGATTTTGGGACTGTCATGATTTGAAATGATAGCTGAAAGATGAAGTAGTGGAAGTTGTAGTGTTGGAGAGTGATGATGACCTTGAGGTTGTCACGGAAGTGAGTAGCAGCCAAAAAGTGGGGGAAAGAGCTGTACACGTGATGTATTTGTATTCCCCCCTTTTTTTCACTTAGGTATAATTCACTTTTTTTGATCTAGCACCTGACTTAATTGTCCCAGGCTTTGAGCTGATAGAGCGTGAACAAATACTATGGAGTCTAGTATAAGAAAGCTTGAGAACTAGAATGAGGAGGCATTCGATGGACCTAGTATTCGCCATTCACACACTAACGTGTGCAATATTGCACAATTAACACTAGCGAATTCGGTTACATTGATAACACCATATAGGAGAAGAGTATGAAAAAGAGAAAATACGATATCAAGTAACTAAAGCAAAACTCAAAGACGACGATGTGTTAAAGAGTAAGCTTTCTACACATGCTTTCCAAGATAATTCTACTTTCTCCTTCGATTTATCACACTTGATTTTCAGAAACAAGACCTTTTGTTCCATGGTAGCACTACAAAGTATCCCTTATGTCATGACCGTATTTCCAATAGAGTAATACCCGTCAAGGTATCGCCATTGCTTGTTGTTACCACCTTTTCTCAAAAAAACTCTGATTCATGGTCCTATTAGAAGCTTCAGATGAGTGGTTGTGTGTATGACGTGAGATTGTAGAAGGACGCTCACCTTTGTAGGGACTTTCGCGGACGGTGATTTCAGGCTATATATCTTGTTAGATGGGGGTCTCGAATGGTTAGCTATGCGGTGGCCATGAAGTGTATCTTGACGATATCTGCGGTTCATGTTCAGAGTAGTTCCTTTGGCTGTTTGTATGGGCATGTTGATAGAGGGTTGGGCTCTATTCCGACGTCCGTGATGGAATAGGATGGATGTTTCAAGAATGATCACTCTTGGATCTATATGTTTGCCAGTACATTCGCTCTCATTTCAAAGTCTCTGTTCTCTAATTTGTTTTCCTGGTTTCGGACAAGAGCTCATACCGATTTGACTGCTCCCTGAGTTCGCTGAATTGTACGATTGGGAGTGAAGTACTTATTACTACAGACGGTCTTCTATTACCGCTCTCCCCATTTCGAGTTCTTCTTACCCCTCTAAATTTTCCAATCGTTCCGTGCGGAACTTGATATACGACTTAATAAAATAAAGTGTCTAGCATCGGGTAGAATCAGTGACTACACACCCTAACAGTAGTGGGGTACTAACGCGAAATAGGCGCAAAAACACAAGCAGAAGATGCCATACACACATTTCTCCGCCCGGAAAACGGTTCCATGTTTTCTACGTGGAGCTTTTCAAGTTACAAAATTCGTGGGTAAGTTAACCTTATGATGCCAATCTTTAGTGGTAACTCTTGATTCAACTCTTGCTTCAGACTCCGGCAATGCAAAGAAGAAGCCAGAACGACATCGTAAACACCCAAGAGAGAATTTCAAAAAAGAAAAATGTATTGTAACAAATCCGTTGGTTCATGTTTCGAGATAATGGGATGACGATGGAGAAAGCTTGGCTAGAGATGGACAAGGGAAGCAGCAGTAAACAATCTATTTCCTATTTTTCTAGATATCTGATTGTTCTCAAATTTCGATTCGTTCCTATCGTAACTCAGTACGGAGGTACTCTCAAGTCATTCTCCGTTTTTCCAAATTCATAATAAAATTATTCAATTGAACAGATCTGCGTTCGAAGATCGAGCCTATCTCGCCTATTTACTGTGACTTTTCTTGTCCATTTGAGAGCTTTGATAACTCGGGATTGGCAATCCTGTTCCCACTAAAGGCACGCCGGTGGCAGCGCTACGCTACCGATATGGTCATGCGCTAGCCTAATATTGCCTTATCTCGTCGCCGCTATTACGCCATAGTTCCACTTTCATGCTGACGGGATGATCTATTCACCCCGTGGCGGTTCACCACACGCCCTGATCTGTTTGCACCTCGCAGCTTAAACCCTGGCATAGCCTCGGAAACACCAGCGCTGGACAGGGGGGGCCCAAACATTCATTTGCCAGGCTCCAGACGCGAATGAATAATAATATTGACGGGAAAGAGGGACGACGCGAATTCTTGTCAACGTAGTCCAGACTGAGTCGCCCAAATCCTCACCCACATTCATTTGCACCAGAACCCCCGCGAATCATACCACGTCATGACATCTGGCCTGGACTAATAGATTGCCGGCGAAGAACGATACATCCATACAACAAAATCCCGGAAACCAGAAGCCAAGCCGAGAAACGAACCTTGTCCACCAGAACATCATTACGCAGGAAACGGCCTCGCATATAGATAGTCCTTGGAATTCAATCGCCCACCTCCCCACGAAGGCAGACGAGAAACCCCCTCCCTCCCGATGGTGCGATCCTTTGAAACCCTCAGCCGCTGAGTCAAAGCCGTATTGGACTCGAAGTGTGTATATTGGGATAGTGGGGAAAGGGGGCTCGCACAAAATCTCCCTTGAACAAACGCAAAAATGGCCGGAGGAAACATCAAGGTGGTAGTGAGATGTCGGCCGTTCAATGGCAGAGGTATGTGGTGTTCTTGCGATCGGGGCAATTCCGAAGACACCGGCGAGAAGAATGTATAGTCTGAGGCCAGGGCTGACATATGTGGGCAGAAATTGATCGCGGAGCAAAATGTATTGTGCAAATGAAGGGCAACCAGACCGTACTGGTTTCACCACATGAAGCCGATCCAAAAGCTGGCGCGAAAGCAAACAAGGACGCAGGGCCGAAAACCTTTGCCTTTGACAAATCCTACTGGTCATTCAACCGCGCCGACGAGAATTATGCGGGGCAGGAGAATCTTCATGAAGATCTGGGGAAACCGCTGTTGGACAATGCTTTTCAAGGATATAACAATTGTATTTTTGCCTACGGACAAACAGGTTCTGGAAAATCGTACTCGATGATGGGATATGGCCCCGATGCCGGTGTTATTCCCAAAATTTGCCAGGACATGTTTGAAAGGATTGGGAACTTGCAAAAGGAGAACAGTTGGCGGTGCACAGTAGAAGTCTCATACTTGGAAATCTACAATGAGAGGGTGCGAGATTTACTGAATCCTTCGACGAAAGGGAACCTCAAAGTCAGAGAACATCCATCTACGGGACCATACGTGGAAGATTTAGCAAAGTTGGTTGTTAGCAGTTTCAATGAGATTGAGCACTTGATGGACGAGGGAAATAAGGCCCGTACCGTCGCTGCGACAAGCATGAACGAAACGAGTAGTCGAAGTCACGCCGTTTTTACCCTTACCCTGACACAAAAGAAACATGATAAAGAGACGAATCTTGCCATGGAAAAGGTTGCAAAAATTAGTTTGGTAGATCTTGCTGGGTCCGAGCGAGCAAATTCAACTGGTGCAACAGGAGCTCGGCTGAAGGAGGGAGCTGAGATTAACAGATCTTTGTCAACACTCGGTCGAGTTATTGCAGCATTAGCTGATTTGTCAGATGGAAAGAAGAAGAAGGGTGGAAAAGCCGCAAATCAAGTGCCATACCGAGACAGTGTGTTGACTTGGCTGTTAAAGGACTCCTTGGGAGGAAATAGTATGACAGCAATGATTGCTGCCATTAGTCCGGCAGACATCAATTTCGATGAAACTTTAAGTACACTCAGATACGCCGACAGCGCCAAGAGAATCAAGAATCACGCCGTTGTCAACGAGGATGCTAATGCTAGAATGATTCGCGAGTTGAAAGAAGAACTGGAGGCTCTCCGGGGAAAACTGAGTGGTGGTGGTGGTGGAGGTCCCGCGGAAGAGGTGTATGCCGAGGGCACACCATTGGAAAAACAGATCGTCAGTATCGTGGCACCAGATGGAACCGTGACGAAAGTTTCCAAAGCCGAAATTGCTGAGCAACTCAATCAGAGTGAGAAGCTGTACTCGGATCTCAATCAAACGTGGGAACAAAAGTTGCAAAAAACCGAGGAAATCCACAAAGAACGAGAACAAGCCTTGGAAGATTTGGGTATCAGTATCGAAAAGGGCTTCGTAGGGTTACACACCCCGAAGAAAATGCCCCATTTGGTCAACCTTTCAGATGATCCTCTCTTGGCAGAATGTTTGGTATATAATTTGAAGCCTGGTCCCACCACGGTTGGAAATGTGGATGCAAAAGTTGAGAACTCCGCGGAAATCCGACTAAATGGCAGTCGAATATTGGAAGAGCACTGTACTTTCGAAAATACCGACAACGTCGTAACGCTGGTACCAAGAGAAGGTGCTGCGGTCATGGTGAATGGAAAACGCATCGTGGAACCTCGACGTTTACGAAGCGGTTACCGTGTTATTTTGGGAGACTTCCACATTTTTAGGTTCAATCATCCCATGGAAGCTCGAGCTGAGAGGGCCGAAAGTTCATTGCGACACTCCATCATCGCAAGTCAAATACAGGACTACGACAAAGTTTCACCCTCGCCTAGTCCCAGGCCCGGACATGATAGGAGTTTTAGCAAAGCTATATCTGAAGCTGACTGGGAGGGGAGTCGCCCAGAGTCTGCAATGTCGTTGCAACGTGGTCGAGATTCAGATTGGTCGTTTGCTCGTCGTGAAGCAGCAGGGGCGATTCTAGGGGCCGATCAAAAGATTGCAGGTCTAACAGACGAGGAGTTAAACATCTTGTTTGAGGACGTGCAGAAAGCTCGAGCTGAGAGAGCCAACCGAGAAATTGAGGACGATATGGACTCCGTTACTTCATATCCCATAAGAGAGAAATATTTGTCTAATGGGACTTTGGATAACTTCTCCCTGGATACCGCCTTGACTGTTCCGTCAACTCCCAAACAAGGCGAAGTGGAGGATAGAATGCGAGAGGTCAGAGAAGAAATGCAAGTACAACTTGATAAACAAAAAGAAGAATATCAAGAACAGCTGAAAACTGCCGAGGATGCCAACGTCGAGGTGGAGGAAATTAAAAAGGAAAAGGCTCGCATGGAAGACAATCTACGCGAAGTCAAGAAAGATATGCTCGTCCAACTTGAGGCGCAACGTAAACAATTTGAGGAACGCCTGCTATCACTGCCGCCATCAAAAGTCCTGGCTGAGGGCCCTGAGCCACTGAACGAGGAGGAAATAGCGATTGCCAAAAAGGTTGCTGAGCATTGGCGTGGTCAAAGATATGTTCGTATGGCTGAGGCAGTTTTACAATCTGCCGCCAACCTCAAAGAGGCCCAAATAATGAGTCAAGAGATGGATGAGAGCGTGGTCTTTCAATTTGCTATTGTGGACGTTGGGCATGATTTATGCTCATCATATGATATGGTTCTCAATGGAATATCAGGTGAGGGGGATGACCTCTTCTTAGAAGGTGCCAACAAGCCTTGTGTTGGGGTTCGTGTCATCGATTATAGGAGCAGTGTGGTTCATCTATGGAGTCTTCAGAAACTTCAGGACCGCGTGAGATTGATGAGGCAAATGCATCAATACATGGACCGCCCTGAATACATGCAACACTTTCGACTGGACAACCCTTTTATGGAAACTTGTATGCCACAGTATACACACATTGGGGACGTGGATGTACCCCTCGCTGCTGTATTTGAAAGTAGGGTACAAGACTTTACGCTTGACGTTCTTTCGCCCTACACTTCGCACGCAATCGGCATGATCAAGTTATCTTTGGAGCCTTCATCCGCCAGGGCGCCATCAAGTACCTTGAAGTTCAATGTTGTGATGCATGATATGATTGGATTTGCTGAACGGGAAGGCACTGAAGTCCATGCACAACTATTCCTACCTGGGATATCTGAGGAGGGAGGCGTTACGACAACGCAAATGATTAAAGACTTCGACGAAGGTCCGATCCGATTCGAAAGTGTGCACAGCATGAGTGTTCCAATGTTTGGCCCTTCAGATGTATCGCTGCGCGTCGCAATATTTGCAAAAGTTTTGTCAATGCATCTTGACAAGTTGCTCAGCTGGGACGATATGCAAGATCATGCACCCAGAGCTAGCAAGAAAAGAAGAAATGCTCGTATTGCTGAGTCGCAATTCTATACCGAGGAAAAGCATGATGTTTTTGCAAGGGTACAAATCCTTGAATTAGCCGAGAGTGGTGAATACCTTCCCGTGGAGGTCATCCAAACCAGTGATTTGGATAAAGGATCTTTTCAGCTTCATCAGGGTTTACAGCGCCGGATATTGGTAAATTTAACGCACAGCTCTGGAGAAGCTTTGCCCTGGAAGGAAATTTTGAACCTTCGTGTTGGTCGTATACAACTTGTCGATCATGTTGGCAAGACTCCAGACCTGAGTACCCCTAGCCCAGATGTTCTTCTCAACCTTACCTCCAAACCACAAATCAAAGTAAATCCAAATGGTACGACCAACGTCACTCTGGTGGGCCAGTGGGACTCGAGCGCCCACGCATCATTGCTCCTTGACCGGGTGACACCGGACAAGTACAAGACTCAGATGTCCTTGCTATGGGACGTTACCTCGGAGAAATTGGCAGCACCGATGACCTTCTCACTTGACGTATGTTCGCAGGTTCTTTCTCGCTCATATGTACGTTCCACTTCAATGTTCGCATCGTTATGGCAAACTGTTCGCATTGTTCATTCTACCAGTGGGATCTTCTCAATATCAGTGCGGCCATCACCCGTCAAGCGCGCTGGAGATCTCTGGCGCATGAATACTCAGAATGATTATGTCAAAGGGGAAGAGGGTCTCATCAACTGGGCACCTCGAGGTGTATCCCTGATTCGGGATCACATAGCTGCGAGACGGAGAAAACACAGACTGGCAGATCTCGAAGCGGCGAAGCCAATTCTCAATAGAATCACATTCCCGGAACCTGCTCCAGTAGATACAGTGGAATCTCCCAACGACGAGAAACAACCAGAGGTGGAACTGACGGAACGCCAACGAGAGCTTCTCAACAAGTATCTTGGTCTTTGGCATTTATGTCGCGACCCATCAACACGTATTCTCCGACCATCTAACGTCGAGCCACCGTCCAACGGTGTCGCGACCCCTCCTCCCGTTCAACCTTCCTCGCCAAATCTCCTAGCCAATATCTCACTCGTACATAAAAACTCCGAAATCCTCAAAGGCGGATACCTCCTCACCCCATCACTCGATAGTACCAAGTGGGTGAAGCGATTCGTCGAATTACGGCGGCCATATCTACATATCCACTCGATTCCTGATGGGGAAGAAGTTTCTGTCGTCCCTCTACGAAATAGTCGCGTTGATCATCAACCTCAGATTGCGAAACTATTACGCAGAGATAACTATGCCAATGGGAATGGGATTGCGGGGAGAGGCAGAACTGTAGAGAGAGACGAGGAAAAGGTTTTCGCTGTTTACGGGACGGACAATTCGTGGTTGTTCAAGGCGAGAAGCGAGAGGGAGAAGGTTGAGTGGATTTTCAAGATCGATCAGAGCTATTTTAGTAATCGGGCGAGTTCTGCGGGGGGTAGTGGCAGAGGAGGTGAGAGCGGGAGTGATGAATGAGTGAATGAATTGCGTATGGGATGTGCATTAGGGAACGTTAATATTCTTGCTTGCTTGCTCATTCATTCTGCGAGCATTGCTGGTGTTTCTTTTCTTTCCTTTTTTTTTTATTTGGTTGGATATCTCTTTGGGAGACATGGGCTGCGGAGCTGAGGCACGGAAAAGAGAGTCTTATCTGGGAGGAGAAATAGAAGGGGAAAAGAGAGGGGAGCGAGAGAGATCTTGTATGAGTATATGATACCCATGTTCTTTTACCACCCCTTTTTAGGGCATTACTTATTTGGAAGAAGCCAGTATGGAATTCCTCCTTGGTACTAGTATTTCATTTGTTTAGAGAGCAGTTGGTCATGGCGATAGTGCGGTTGGCTAGAGCTTACAGTAGTGCTACATAGACTAGTGCAGGAAAAGGAGTGGAGGGGTAATTACAATTTATATTTTGTGCACGTATTCTTGAGTGCTTGTTGGGTGTGACGTCTATTGTGGGGAACATATTTCTCTTGGGTTTTGTCCTTTTCAATATCATCCTTTTGACTTTGCTGATGTTTGGAAGAGGTTACCACAGCTTTGGGAATGAGTTGAGTTGAGTTGAGTAGCACCTACAGTAGGTGCTAGCTACTTAACCAAATCTACTACTCATACTCATTCCCACTCAACTTGGAGTAACTCTGAGTAGTACTCGAGTTGTTGAGTAGTCTTTTACGACGGTGAAGGGGTATTAGTTGGGTTTTGATGGTTGGAGAAGGAGGATAAAAGCCATTTTGCATACACCTTCGCTTAGTCAAAATAAGCTCAACTTTCACTCAGAAAACTATGGGTGCCCTTTGATAGAGGGCTGGCTAAAATCAGATCATACACTTTGGTAGCATGTTACGTTAACAGGAGGCGCAATCGCCCTTCAGAAGCGTAGTGTTCTCCAACAAGCCTATTCACAGACGAATGGGGCCGCAGCTTCACTAGTCCAGTTACACATTCTATAAATGGGGGTTTCCGGCCAATTTACCCTTGTACCGCATGCAAAAAACGCGAGAAAGAAGTGAATGGGGGTAAGAAGCCCTGTTTGCACAAAGATTCACCTAGTAACGATAGCATTATGAGTAACACCTACTCACTCACGTCACCATTATCATTCCGAAAACACCCGTATTCACGCCATCAACTGCAAAGAAATGCTTCTTAGAAATGTAAAATTGTGAATGTTTTCCATAACCATTGTAAAGATGTGCTTGTGTTCTACGCCTTTGAAAAAGATGTATCATCCAAGTCTCATCCGTGAAAGAAAAATAGACCAAAGCAAGCAGCTGAAAAGAAAAAATGATGGCCTTCCCTGACACACCCCACCTAAAATTTTGCTTTCTGTGTTTCTCTCTTCCATTTTCCCATGCGCCTCAACCCCAAGTTGGCGTGATGATGTTGTGATCCCAAACTTTGCCCTCCAATCCCAAGTAAAAGAAACGAAGAAAAGAGTGCTCCCGCCCCAAGTGCAAACTGATTTCTATGGTATCCATCGTGTTTGCCATCCTCCGGTGCGAATATAGGCATCCTGTAATTTTTCGATGATCGCATCGGCTGCCTCGAAGGCATCGCCCCAAAATCCATCAACGGGCTTCCAATTGCACCAATCCCCATTAAACGCAGTCAATTGCCTCATAAGACCCTGCCCCGTCTTCGTCATGAAGCTCGCTAAGCCTAGAAGTCGTTGTATACGGCAAAGCTCACGAACACTCAGGAGGATCCGCTCATTGGCGTTGACCGACCATGTACCATTAGGCAGAGGCTGCATCTGGGGAACCGCGTTGATATTGATGACGATGTATTTGCTGGTTCCTTGCCGAACGACACTTTGATAGTGGGCTTCCAGGTTACAGGGAGGAGAGTTCGCGGTACCGAAAAGGCAGGAAAGAATCAATTCTGGCGAGTAACCGCCGTGGGCTTCCTTCACATGGTACGCGAACATCTTCTCGACCTGGTTTTTGAATTGTCCAACCCATCGTACCTCACTGTATCGTGGTAGCTGTAATCCCCGTAAGTCGGAATAGTAGCGAAGCATGTTGGGGAGGGGATTGCCCTCAAGGACCCAGGAATCGTGGGATTCTCGCCAAATGTTTGGCTGGGGATGGTAGGCCGAAGTATACTTCGTATAGATGGTTGGGAGGGGATCCAAAGCAGCAGAACAAATAACCGAGCGAAGTACATATTGGAGGCTTTCTTGGCCTCGAGAGTCCCAATATCTCTCCAGGAGAGGGAAAACCGCCTTGCAAAGCGCAAATTGCGCCAAAATACCACCCCCGCCCCCCTCCATGGGGTCAAATGAGTCGTATATAAGCCGCAGAATCTCAGGTGGAAGTCTTGTGAGTCTCTTTGACTCCGCCTGCTTATATACGCGTGTGATTGTGCGTCGGTCGGGTTTCTTTGAGAAGGGGAGGTCGGCGAGATCGGATTGAGAGAGCGCAGAGCTCTCTGCGAGGAACTGCGCCCCAGTGGTACCATTCGTGAACATTTGGACGTGGTTTGGGAGGAGGGTCGGCGGAATTGAGTGGAGTTTCCACCAACAAAGCGTCTGGAAAGTCATTGGTCCTGACTCTTTGAGAAGGGTTTTGATACCCCGCTAACGCTTTTTTGCGGCGGAAGACTTTGATTTTGCCATTGTAGATATGTTCTAGTATTCGTAGAGTTAGTTGGTGCAAGAATAATGGTTAATATAGGGGTGGTGGGTGCTGTAGATGTACCAGAATTGTTGTTGTCACTGCGACAAAGAGGAAAGAAGTAGATGGGTGGGTGGTTGAGGTGCTTTTATACGTCGGTCGCCTCGCTGTAGGTGAATGTTGTAGGCAGCAGCCTTGCTAACAGGGTGAATTTGAAGCGAAGGTGATGCTAACGGTCGGTAACAGTTGACCCTTATTCGAACCTGGTATTGTTTGTTTGTCCTCTCTCGTAAACTACTCTCGCTTAATGAAATTCAGAGGCAGCTTTGAACCAATAGAGTTTATTCTAAAACATTAAATAAAGTCAGAAATCCTCTTTTATCTAATATATAATACAAATATATATTTATTCTAAGTAGTTTTTGTAATATAATTTATCTAATAATCTTATAAAAAATACGGAAATCTCTTCTATCTTATAAAAGCTATTTTCGTTCTATTATTTCGATAACTTTATAAAATAGAGTTTCTTCTATAATATTATACAAAGTAGAGAGTTTTCAAAAATCCAGTGAACAATATCAAGATTTTATTATGTTAACTAGTTTTTATAACAAAATTTATCTAATTATCTTATGAAAGATAGGAAAATCTCAATTATCCTTTAAATAATATTTTCATTTTATTATTTCAACTACTTTATATAGTAGAATTTATTCTATATTATCTTCTAAAACTATTAACTTTCTATTACCTAATTAATAAAACTAGTACTTTATTCTTAAAGTTAGTTCTCCTAATATAATTCTTATTAACTTAACTTATAGTATTCAAATAAATATTCTTAATAAAGATTAGAAGTTATATTCCTATAGTTAGAATCTTAAATCATTTATTTTAAAATTTAACGCTTGGTTGCTACATTGCAATTGCGCACCCCCGTTCACCACCAGCTTTGCGAAGACTTGTGCCGCCCGTTACGGCAACCCGAATCTACTACTAAACCAGATGACTTAATCGTAAATCGTAAATCGTATATACTCGATTTTAAGTTTATTTTATAGGAAATCGCAAGTCGTAAATCGTAAACTAGCTTAGGGTTAGGGTTATATTCCGGCGCTAGAATTAAAGGTAAAACCACTTGATAAAAGTAAATAATCTTAGATTTGACTCGAATACTCCTGCTTTCGAATATAACTCGAACGCTCCTTTAACTCTACCCCGCTTCCCTGCCCCCCTCTATATAAACCCCTCTAATTCCTTTACTACTTAGAGGCGGAGGAGAGAGGAGAAGGAGAGAGAACAGGTAAGCAGTAAACAATTATTAGCGTAACACATACTAGCCTAGCCTCTTTAGGAAGGTAGTTTTAGGGGCAGGGAACAAGCGACGCGCACAAAAATATTTCCCCGCTTCTGTCCCCTTTGCTACCCTATCTCTCTCTGTCTCTCTCTCTGTCTCTCTCTCTCTGTCTCTCTCTCTATCTCTCTCTCTCTTCTAAACAACATACCAGGGTACAACCCTTATACGACAGCGAGGGTGCGACAGCGAGGGTAGGCGACAGCAAGGGTAGCGAGTATATACGCGAAAATTTTAAGGCTGTAAAGTTTGAGCGAGGGTGGGGGTGTGGGGGTATAGGCACAATAGTAGGTAGTAGTAGTAAATATAAGACTTTTACGATTTGATATAGTATTCAAATAAATATTCTTAATAAAGATTAGAAGTTATATTCCTATAGTTAGAATCTTAAATCATTTATTTTAAAATTTAACGCTTGGTTGCTACATTGCAATTGCGCACCCCCGTTCACCACCAGCTTTGCGAAGACTTGTGCCGCCCGTTACGGCAACCCGAATCTACTACTAAACCAGATGACTTAATCGTAAATCGTAAATCGTATATACTCGATTTTAAGTTTATTTTATAGGAAATCGCAAGTCGTAAATCGTAAACTAGCTTAGGGTTAGGGTTATATTCCGGCGCTAGAATTAAAGGTAAAACCACTTGATAAAAGTAAATAATCTTAGATTTGACTCGAATACTCCTGCTTTCGAATATAACTCGAACGCTCCTTTAACTCTACCCCGCTTCCCTGCCCCCCTCTATATAAACCCCTCTAATTCCTTTACTACTTAGAGGCGGAGGAGAGAGGAGAAGGAGAGAGAACAGGTAAGCAGTAAACAATTATTAGCGTAACACATACTAGCCTAGCCTCTTTAGGAAGGTAGTTTTAGGGGCAGGGAACAAGCGACGCGCACAAAAATATTTCCCCGCTTCTGTCCCCTTTGCTACCCTATCTCTCTCTGTCTCTCTCTCTGTCTCTCTCTCTCTGTCTCTCTCTCTATCTCTCTCTCTCTTCTAAACAACATACCAGGGTACAACCCTTATACGACAGCGAGGGTGCGACAGCGAGGGTAGGCGACAGCAAGGGTAGCGAGTATATACGCGAAAATTTTAAGGCTGTAAAGTTTGAGCGAGGGTGGGGGTGTGGGGGTATAGGCACAATAGTAGGTAGTAGTAGTAAATATAAGACTTTTACGATTTGTAATTTGCGATTTGGTCATCTGGTTAATAAGTAGATTCGGGATGCCGTACCCGTTGAATATTGTTAGTACTTCGGAGAAATGCTTCAAGCTCAGTCTTTTCTTCAGCATGCTTTGGATCCTTCGACGACAAGAGCCCACAAAAGTACAAATAGTAACCATATACTCGCACCTGATTCAGTTGGCGGAGGGCGGTGGTAAGGTGGTTGCCCATCCGCTTGAGGCTTTGGTTATCTAATATCTCCTCTGTGTCGGTGTATAGCATCCAGTCGCCAAACGTCAACAAGAAGGGTTTGAACTGTGCTGGAACTCAAGCTCGCTCCGCCTCCTTGTATGCCCCAAGGTAGGCACCAATTGTTGTACCGTTGTTGTTGGCTTGGATCTGATCCCTAAAGTAAAAGCTACATTCTAATCTACTTACGCTAATTATAATTAGTTCTATTTCTATCTATTAGTTTAATAATAGTAGAAGAGAAAAGAAGATTAATAAAATAATAAAATAAACTATAATATAATAAGCTTATATTATATACTAGAGAAAGCATAACTATCTAGATCTCGAAGTACATAAAAATAGTATTCGTACGATATAATGCAAGTACTACGAATGAATGTGACTTATACTTCGAAAGTATCTTCTATTACGAATGTATCTCGTACTTCGGATGTCCCCTATACTTGAGCCTACAAGGTCACTATTGAAAAAGATTGTTATCGTTAAGGCATTATTAAAGACACTTCACAGAGAGGGGAACGAATACAGCAAGATCGTGCGACATTTTCCAATACACGCCTCCACTGAGGCTGTATCGTACATCCTCATCCTCGATCTCGATCTTGCTGTGATCTCAGCACGCTTCCACAGAAGCTACTACAAACGTCCTCACAATGCCGCCACTCTCCCTTGATCAGTAGAAGTACAACATTATAGTACGCAGAGATCGTGCACGTCTTGTAGACAGTGTTGTTGCTACCATCAACTGTGGTCGATTCCAACCAATCATCAATAGTCAACACGAATTAATTACCCATCTCTAGACCACAACGTCCTTTCTGTTGCTAATTGTACCTTCTAGCTCGCAAACTCCGAGACATGGCTGAGTACTGCCATCATGGAAGCAAAAGACGGACTTTCAAATGCGGCTACATCTAAGAAACCAAAGGCGAAGAAATCGTTGAAGTCCGGAGTAGCGAAGAAGCCTCCTGCCAAGAAGGCATCAGTGCAGAAGGCTTCAATTCAGAAGACCAAGCCAGAGAAGTAGATTTGATGACAAGAGCCCAACGAAGACAGATATTTGGGGCCTGCTTCGACAGCAACCCGATATTGGTTATGCGCTATTACCTCCCCAAGGAGTTCGCTGTTGTTAACTTCCCGGTCATGCCTTGAATGCTTTCGCTTTGGCGGCTCATCCTCCCCTGAACTTTCTGTGTCGTGTCGTGGAGGAGTTCCGGTTCTTCAGCCAATACTTCGGTTTCCTAGATTATATATATTAGTTTTTCTCTTAGGCGGCGGTCACAAATTACAAGCAAAGGTCAAACGGTAAAATACCTGAACGTTTTCCTTCCCCTTTTCCTTAGAACCCCTTTTCGTTACTTTCCGTAGTTTACTCTTAGACTTAGGCTGCACTCGGCGAACTTCGAGCTTGTTGATTTTAACATTCTTGTATACATAAGAGTACTTTGGGCGGCCTGCAGATGTGAGCAAACTGTGTGATTATTGCTACATGTCAAAGCATGTAGGTGTCCCTTTTTTTTCCCTGCTTCTTTTGCAAATTTCGGTACAAAAACATTGACACTACCATTTGCTCGGAATCTGCCCATTTGCACTTTTTTGAGCAGCTTGGAATATACTACAAATGTCCCTTATACTACGAATGTACCTCCTTCTGCGAATGTACCTCCTTCTGCGAACGTACCTCCTTCTGCGAATGTACTTCCTTTGGGGAATGTAACTTATATTACGAATGCACCTCATACTATACGACTATATCTTCTACTAGAAATGTATCTTATACTGCGAGTGTATATTATCCTGCGAATGTAATCTTACACTGCGACTGTATCTTATACTGCGACTGTATCTTATACTACGAACGTAGTTTATCCTGCGAATATATCTTATACTGTGAATGTAGCTTATACTACAAATGTACCTTATACTGCAAATGTACCTTATACTGCAAATGTACCTTATACTGCAAATGTAGCGTGCACTATTGGTTTAATATACTTACTGCGCGCGACAGTAAGAGTCAGTGAGTATAGCGAGATTAGAAGTGGTGGAGATGTTTTAGGTAGAAGTATTACCCTATATATAGCTTTCAAAGATTTATATGTGAACATGATAATAATCGCGAGAAGGGCACCTCAAACAATCTTATGTCTTTCTGTATAGCAATTAGTCCACAGACATTTACAATCATTCTTCTTGGAGTAATTTAGCCTCGTGTTAGGATTAGCGATTATACAAATAAACGCTAAAATAAGTCAACCCAAACAGGCCCTTACATCTGAGTGGTTTATTCATTCTAAAGGGTTGTACTAGCTTAAGTGTACTGGCAGTCTAGAGGCTCAAATGCGAGGGTATCTGAGGTTCTTTTGTAGATAGATAGCATGATATACCGGCAACCTGAGAGCGTAAATGGGTTATTCTGGGACTCTACCAAATATTATAGAATCTCTCTAAAGTGCGTAGCGGCGGTCTAGGAGTAAAAATTTACAACCGCAAGCATAAAGGAGTCGCTCTCACATAGCTTTTGGGCCTCTCGAGAGGAAAATTTGAGAGCTCATTACTTATCTACGTATAACTGACAACGCCGCTACTATGGCGACCCAAACACAGTCAAACCCGGAATGGCAACAAGAAGTCATAGAAGGAACAGCCTACGAA